TGGAGCTGCCCTGATGTCCCTTCTCCGATGGCAAGGACGGGCGTGGGAAGAACTCGATGTCAAGGTGAGCGTTCCCAGCGAGGGCGGCAGGCATCCCCCGCTCTGGGTACCCCGCAGTGTGGCCCAGGCTCGGTCTACTTTCATGGCTGACCAGGCCCTCCCTCACGACTGCCTGAGGAAAGACACCGGAGGCAGGAGGGCTCCAGGGCCTGAGGTCACAGCTGGAGGAGCCGGGGTACAGGACGGGATCCCACCCAGGCTCTGACTCCAAGGCCCTGCTCCTGACCCACCACTCAGGTGGCCATGGGACCGCAGCTCCTCCCTTGTATCCTCCTCAGGGTTCAGATGTGAGGGTTCACATTGAGCCAAAGGCCTCCCACAGCGCCTCCTGGGGGTGGCCTGGGGAAAGCCCACTACTGCCACCCTTACTCTCACGCAGGGGCCTGGGGGTCATACCCTACTGCTCCATGCTCCACCACCGCTGCCTCCACCAAGGTTGCAGGATGGAAAACAGTCATTAAATGTGGCTTGTGTTCTGGGCCCAGTTACTTTCCTTCCCCATTACCCCAACGGCCTTATTCCCCTATCACACAGAGGAAATGAAGGCTCAGAGAGGTGGAGTGACGTGCTCAACATCACACAGCTCCTAAATGGTGCCACAGCTCAGTTTGACTCCAAAGATGGCTCTTTTTACTCCACCATCTTGTGTCTTTCTCTTGGGCAACATGTCTTCCCTGGGAGTGATACCTCCTGGAGTTCAAATCTCTCTGCTCCCACAACTTGTGTTTGGGGAACCTAGGGATGGAAGGAGGATCACACCAAATGGCGGCTCACTTTTGCTCCAGGTCCCAGCCAGGCTCGTTCAAAGGGATCCAGTGAAGGAAAACTTGTGTAGCCAGTGTCCCCCTCAGTGTGGACACCGTGTTAGCCACTCTGCGTATGTCCCCTCAGCCACCTTGGGAGGGAGGTGCCATGATCCCTGCCTTATAAACGAGACAGCAGAGGCCGGGGGGAGGTGAAGTCACTGCCCCCAGGTCACACAGGTAGTGAATAAGTGGCACAAGATGTGGGGACACAGGGCCCAGAGCCATAAAAAGGACTTAGAAACACCAAAGCCAATTTGTAAAAAACGCAGGTGAAGAACAGCCATTGCGAGGGCACACGCAGCGTGGCCCACCTGTGGCCCTGGGCCATCCTGAAGGTCTCACCAGGCGGCCCAACCAAACAGACCCTCCGGGGAGCCCAGCAGGTGCTCGCTGTCCCTGGAAGCCCAAACACCAGCTCCTGGGTTCCCAGGACCACCACATCGGGCCACTCACTCACTTCCTCGCCAGCCTCTTAGAAACGGGGACTTGCAGATGTCCTCATTTTTTTTCTCATTAAAGAAAAAATAATATGATTCACAATATATCTCTACTTGGTCTAAAACCTGCTTATTAAAAATCTACTTTTGGGAAACAGGAGGATAAGTGGCAAGATTCCCCACGGAATGATCTCCGCTACGCCTGATTTTGATGGCTGAGAAAGGGAATTAGATTCCTGTCCCTAATTCTGCTTGCAGCACCTCCTGGCCCTGCATTAATAAGGAAGATGGAAGAGAGTCTCCTTCAGAGCCCTGAGCCCCACTCCCCTCAGTCCCTGTTCTTTGATTAGATTTTTAATCTCCTTTGCCCTTGAACTTCCCGGCTCTGTTCCGCCTTCCTTCCCCTGGCCCTGGCAGGTGGGACAGAGACCCTCAGCAGCAGCAGCAGCAGGAGAGCAGTGTGCGGTGGCTGCTGAGCCCCGGGGGGTGGCCTTGCCTCCCCTGGGCCTGGACAGACAGCCTCACCTCCTCCAGGACAGCCTTTCTGCCTGAGAACTTCTCCGCTCTCAGGCACTGCTCTGGGTTGTTTGTTGGGATCATGGCCGGGACAGGATGTTGTGTGGAGGAGGCAGCCCCAACTGAGGGTCAGAGCCCCTGAGGCAGAGTCCTGGATTTTCCATGGAACCCATGGTGTCATCTAAGTCCCTGCAAGGCTCCAGGCCTGTTCTCTCAGCTCTAGCAAGACTGGGGAGGAGGAGGTCAAAAGGGAACACAGAAATGCAAAGTGATTTGTCCTCCACAAGGAACTGTTTGAATGTCAAGCAAGGTCATAATTCTAAGAGAAAGAGTCCTGGGCCAGAGGCAAGGGTATCTAGCCAAGTGCTTAGTGACTTGTACACGTTTTAACAGAGCAACTCATTTCCTAAAGCCCAGTGAGAGCTGAAGCAGAGGAAAGAGAACTCAAACTAAAAGCAAGAGGGAATGGTGGCTGGACAAAAGAAAGAACTTCCTGGCAGGTTGGTGAGCCATTGTGCCCAGCAGAAGAAGACTGAAGGAAAACCTTGTCCTTGCCTTCTATCTCTTAATAGCTAGCATCCTGTGCAGTTTTCCATCAGCATTCTTTCGGGGCTTGTAGGCAAACCCATTTGGAAGACAATGAGGTAAATAATTGGTTTGGCCACGGGACATCTCAGAGGGTCCATGCTAATGTGCCTTGTGATCTGCAGGAAGCGGAAACAGAATGGAGGACTCCCCAGACTTTCTTCTTCGCCCCTGCAGCACTCATCATCAACGCGGTATTGTACGGTAAGCTCTCTGCCGCGATGGGACTGTTGTGTACCTGGGCTGTTCAGTACAGAGCGGCGGCCACGTACAGGTGGTGAGCACTTGATGTGTGGCCAGTCAGGATGAGGAACTGGATTTTTAGTCTTATTTGATCTTAATGAATTCAGATTTAAATTCAAAGAGTCTCGAGTGACTTGGAGCTACTGCACTGGTCAACAGAACCCCGGGGGAGCCCAGTTTAAGAAATGCTGGTGTAATGCTGATGGTGTATGGGACTATGATCCAGAGAACCGGGGCCAAATCCCAGCTGGACCACTTCCTCATTATGGCACCCTGGAGAAGTCGAGCTACTCTCTGACCCTCGGTCTCCTCTTTTATAAACAAAGGGGTTGGAGTCTCTATTCACTGAGCTCTTGCCAAGCCCCCTCCGTGGACCCCGGTCTCCAGGGCACCTGCATTCCCTAGGAGTTCAGACCCATCCTTCACTGTCCTGACTGCTTCGTGTGCAAAGGTCCTGCCTGATCTCCAACAAGGCTGCTTCACTTTTGAGAAAAGACACTGTGCTGTTCTTCTGTCTCTCACAGAGCCTGGCACGGAGCCTGGCACATAAAATATGGCCAGTAAATAAATACCTGTTGATTGACTAAGTGAAGGACTGGCCTGCTCTTGCACGTGCCCACCTCATGGGTTCCTCTTAGGAGCTGCTTGTTGAAAAAGACCCGAAACCACCTTTCTGTTTCCAAGCCTGAGAGTCCCCAGATCCTTGGGTCTGATTCAGGTTTCCCAAAACTAGTGCCCCAAACTAATTGTTCCTTGAGGGTGGGCCTATGATTGGAATGGCCTTTACCCAGAGGACATTCCTAGGGGAGAGGCCTTAAGTCCCTACAGTTGATGCAGAACCAAGTCCACGCTCCCTCACCTGCCACTCAAGGGTCCCCGCCCCTTCCGCAGGCGCTTTCCACTTCAGTAGAGCCTCTGAGCTCCAGAGGCCTGCTTCCTCCCCCCCTCGTCGGGCACACTCTATCTCACTTCTCCACTGACTAAGATCTTCGTGATCCTTCAAGCCCCATTTGAAGCCCTGCCCTGGTCCTGAAGCCCTTCCTGTCACCCTGTGCTCAGGATGGCTCCTCGACTAGCCACATAGCACATTTGACACTGACCACAAACTACTGGGTGCCTTCTCCCACCAATGGCAGGGTCACGTCTCCTCTGCCTCCACTCCAGAGCTCTGGAAGAAGTTCCGGACACATAGCAAGAGGACCGACATCTGAGTGTGGGCCCTGCTACTCAAATTGTGTGACCCTGGGCAAGTCACTGCACCTCTCTGGTCTCAACTTCCTCTGATGGGGATCCCAACACCTCCCAAACCACTGGGTGGTTGTAATAATTAGACAAGGTACACATAAAGCATAGAGTTGGGCCTCAGTGACTTGTTTCTTGAGTACCACAAAGTAAAGACCCCATGGAATTGTGTCGAATGAATGAATGAATACACGTGCCGGGGCAAGCAGGCACACAGGTGTTGACATAGGTGGTCCTGACCATCATGGGGAGGGGGCTTTTGTTTTTGGGTGCCCTCGGGATTCCAGGATGCGGGGAAGACTTGAGAACTCTGAGTAGTTCTGAGAAGGTAAAGAAGGGAGCCCGGCTCCAAGATGGAGCATCTCTACCAGTGCAGCCCAGGAAGACCTGCAGGGTAAAAAAGCCGGGCAGGCCACAGGTACCAGGCTCAAGCACTGGTTCCCAGTGCAAGCCAGTGCCCGGCACCTGTTGACCGCATGTGGGTGCAGCTGCAGAAACACACAGACGCTCCAATTTGCTGGGAGGCGTGGGCTTAAATTAGCTAAATCTCATAAACACTAAATTTATGTCACAAATTGTCTGAGAGTCACAGAAAGTGCATTTCCAAAGCCTGCATTTGCGGAAAAAAAAATGCTTTATCAGGAATTGACCTTGGACCTTGTTCCATCAGCAAAACCTGCTCTCCAGGGGAAGAAGCTCTTCAACCCATCAAGTACAAATGCATTCAATTTATATTTTCCCTCTCTCTCTCTCTCTCTCTTTGTATCTCCTTAACAATGAGGCTGAAAATGTGGGAATTGAGTTTGCAGATGCAAAAAGGTTTGGCAATTGGCCAGTCTCCCTCTAACCTAGTTCCTTTCTGTTCTGGCCATGTCCAGGGAGTCCTGGCAAAGGGTACACCTGGACCACGGGCTCTTTCTCTGTCTTACACACACACACCAACACGCACACAGGTGTACACGTGGACGAACACCTGAACCTGTTGGTTATCAGCCTGGGATCTGAGAGAGACCTCCCTTCCTGGTGGGGGAGCCAGGGGCACAGGGAGCCAGGAGAGGATCAACAGGATCCACCCACCTGTTAGAGGCGGATCCAGCCTAGGGACACTTACATTCTGCTTTGGCACAGATGAGGCAGGCGGTGGTGCAGTTGAAGAAATTCAGGATCCCAGCTACAGCCACGCTGATGTCGGTGTTGCTGGGGTGCAGGTTCAGGGTTGTGAATCTCTGGAACTGGAACTTGACAAATTCCTCTGGGGCCACTTTGAAATGAGGGACCTGGCAGGAGGAGCAAAAATGGGCAGCAAGGAGCATCCAAAATGAGTGAGTAAAAAGGGAAGGATGAGGGGCGGACCAGGCTGTGGAGGGAAGGTCCCCGGACACGACCCTGTGTGCACACCAGCAGAGTTGGAGCTCACAGGACCCAGCACAGGGGTCCAGGGGTGGGGGAGGGAGACAAGATGGCATCCCCGCCAGGACCCCACCAGGAACCTTTTGGCCAGAGACCTGTGTAAAGATACGGGGGAGCTGGGAGCTGGGTCTGCCAAACTGGGAAGGAAAAAGAAGAGGTTTTATCCTCAGAAGAAGGGCCTTCTGCTGGGCAGAGACAAATGGGTCTTGAAATCCTGGCCCTGATAATATTTTATTTGTAGTTACTAAAGCAGAGCAGAGATGGCAGAAGAGAGGAACACTCCCCTGGGGACCAAGAGAGAAGCCCCTTAGCCCAGTCGACAGGTGTGTAAACCAGCTCCCAACCAACGTCCTGGGTGAATGTCCAGGGCGACAGCAGGGCAGGAGGGGCCCTGTGCATATGTGGGGACCGAGGCCCGGCATCTAGAGAAACCATGGAGAAGCCTCTGGATGGATTCCTGTGAATAAATACCTGCTCTGGTTTCATTAGGACAGTGTCGGCTTCTGTCTGCATCTATTGCTGACATTTCTGAGAGGCACTTCCCTGCCTTCTGCCTCTCTTTCTGGGAAAGAGATATTAACAGGCTGCAGTGTCTGCTTTATTGTCAGCTTGGGCTATCTGGTATGTAATAGGGAAGTTAAAATGTAATAAGCTGCCAGCCACCTTGATTTTACTCTGCCAGGATCATCCTTGTCACCCTATGCTGAGGAGCTGAAGGGGAGGGGGAGTTTGTCCCAATGTTAAAGCCAGTAAGGTTGAAAGTAGACAGCAGGAAGAACTTTCTGATGGTGACTTGGTTGGATTCTAGACTAGATTATTTAGAAATGGTTACAGAAGTTTTCTTTGCCTTGCCTGGCCCAGAGGTTGTGCTGCCAGGAGTCTGGGAGCTGTGATTGTCCATGTAAGAGTCTACTTCTTACGTCTATAGTCCCAGCAGCCCAGGAGACTGAGGCAGGAGGATCGTGAGTTCAAAGCCTGCCTCAGCAAGAGCGCTGTGAGACCCTGTCTCTAAATAAAATACAAAATAGGGCTGGGGATGTGGTTCAGTGGTTGAGTGCCCCTGAGTTCAAACCCTGGTACCTAAAATTTAAAAAAAGAAAAGAAAAGAAATCTACTTCTTTATTCTTTTTAAGTTTTGGGGAGAAGTTGGCCAGAGACTAGAACTCTTCTGAAATTGGAATGGAAGGAGAATAAAGATTTGATTTGGCCAAAAGAGAGAGAGAGAGAGAAAAAAGAGAAGAATTACTGAATTCAATGAGGGTTAGCCCTTGAACTTCAGAGAGAACACGACCATATTTTGTTCAGCAGGGGCACAGAACTCACAAGAACCAGCGAGTCCTGAATGATGACTCTCGGGAGAGGAGCTGGCCTGTGTCATAAGGGGCCTTTCTCCCCACTCACACTTTGCATCCCACACAGTTGATCTCGAATGAAGAACAAATGCACCTTGACAGGAAAAGAGGTTACAGAGGGTCAAGATGAAGTTCAAGACTGGGCCGGGGGGCGGGGGTGCTGGCTGGTTTAGACATCTGAGCTTCTCTGGCAAAAAAGGTCTCCTGGTGTGGCCATGAAGGCTGCTGATTTTCAGTAGCAGCTAACCCGTTAGGGCATTGGGCATCAAGCACCTCCAATAGTGCAGAGCCCCTAGGGAGACCCACAAAACCATGGTTTCCAGTCTTGGTTTGGTGGGGGAGTCCTTCAGGAAGATGAAGGAAGCGTAGGTTTTGGAGACTGTAGCCCTGGGTTTGCATTTAGGTCCTGCTGTGTGATTTGGGGGCAAACCACTTAACCTGTCTACACTTCAATCAGACGGAGACAGCCAGAGGCACTTCCTAAGAAGAGCTCTGGAAGATTCAATGAGATGTCGGGATGAAGAGCGGATGGGAATAGCTCTCTCCCACCAGATCCTCAGAGCTCGGCAATGCCTTTTCTCCCTCCACTTTCCTTTCTCCCCCAAAGGTCAGAGTTCCCACAGAGATCCCAGAGCTGTGAGTGCAGGGCCAAGGGTGGAGGGGCCCCTGGGAAGGGGAGCTGTAGGGGTCTCCAGCACAAGGCACCGCAAAGGCCGCGGGGCAGGCAGCCAGCTGCTTGGCATGCCCAGCCAGGGAGGACCCTGCCCGTCCTGCCAGTTGTCTCTCTAAGAAGATCAATCCATAATCGATTTGCAATTGCAAATGCGTCCCAGGAAGTCGTCCTGGAGGTGTGGAGAGAGAGCATCAAGGCAGAGAGCGGCCAGTCGCCAGGGCTGCAGGGACATCAGCAGCATTTAAAGGGATGGACTCCTGGGTGAGAAGTCCACCGCTTTCCCCAGAGCCAGAGGGAATCGGTGGAAGGCTGTTCGGCCTCATAAAATATTAAAAGAAATGCATAATCTGAACAGAGAGGAAAGGTGGCTCGGGAAGGAACACGACCAGACAAAGGAGGGGTGACCGTCTGGCGGCTCCCTGGGCAGTGCAGCCTGGCAGGCTGGTCCCTGGCACAGAGCCAAGGTGGGACATTGCAAATGAGGGGCTCAGCCTTGGGCCCCAAAGGCCAAATGGAGCTGAGGGATCTGCTGGCTGAGATGAAGAGCCACTGACTCCCACGAGGAGGTCATGTTCAAGTGGGTTTGTGGGGAGGACAGAAAGAGCCAATGAAGAAAGAAATGGGGGAGAAGAGAAAAGAAAGGGAGAGAGAGAGAGAGAAAATGGGAAGCAGAAGTCTTGGCGACCTCGGCTGGTGAAGATCAGAGCCACCGCTGAAATAATGACCTGCCACATATCTGAGCTATTGTTTGGAACATGGCAGAAAGATTTCAATTAAGTATCAAGCGAAACTCCTGGACTGAGGACAGTAAGATGCTGGAAGGGACTGAGAGGGACGGAAGCTGCTTTGTGCCCTGGGCTGGCCAGAGTCCTCTTCTAGGTGTGGGAGGGGAAGGGGATGGGGAGCTGTCAGCATGGCCCCAGTGGGAGGCCAGAAGGGCAAGCCTGCCCCTGGAGGAGCAAGACCACCTGGGACCAGGCTGGGGCTGCAAGGCACCCAAATGTGCTGATAGCAATTCTTAGGGCTCATCAAACAGGGAGGATTAATATTCTGCACAAAGGCTCAGGGACTCCCAAGCCCTCTGATCATAACCTCAAGGGAGTAGCTTCCAGGAGGATGTGGGGCAGGCAGAAGCCTATCCACAGCTCCCCGTTTCTACAGGGGTGGCTTCCTGGGGAGGCATCCAGTCTGTCAGTTAGGGGGTGTCCCCTCCTATTTCCAAGAGCTGGACCTGCCAGAAGTGAAGCTTCTGGAAACCCGAGGCTCCAGGTCTCTAACGCAGATGTAAGGTGTTGCCTTCTCCCTAGGCTCCTCCCCTGGCCCCTCCTGCGCCTCTGCACCAAGCTGCAGCTGCCCCCAAGGACCTGGCTGGAAGGCCGTAGGAGCAGAGAGGGGTTAAGGGGCCACCTGCTGCCCATCTCCCAGATACAGCTGAAGGGGAAGGACTGGCGGACTCCAGGAAGGACGTAGAAAGATGCCAGCAACAGAGACTCTCAGAAGTTCCAAGTCCATCTTCTCCAGGGAAGAAGGAGAGGAGAGTGGACAGAATAGGGAGGCGCTGGTGCTCAGAAACTTGCCCCTCCCACATTATTCTCTCTTGGAGCTAGAACCAGAGGAAAGCACCTCAATACTTTGGGAGCTCCCCGACCCCGCCCAGGAAGACTGTCCTGCCTGAAGGAGTAGACCAGACGCTGGAATCGGTGAATGAGGGAAGAACACAGAATAAAACCCCTTTTCTCAAGAAATATAAAATAGAGGCTTTCAAACTTTATATTTTGCAATAAAATGTAGCAGTGCCTTCCCCTAAAGGCATTCTACCCCAGAATCCCAATGGATGAACAGATCACCACAGAGCTGGCCACGTGGACTGGAGGGCTCAGACTTCTGTCCTCTTAGCCTCCTTCCCCACCACCACTTACCAGCCTCTCCACCCCATCACCAAGAGGCCACTGGAGACACCACCTTGGGACTCTTAAGAATCAGGAGCTCAGCTTGAAAATCCCATTATCAAACATCTCCCCTGAGGCTCCCCTATTAAAATAATTTGGAGCAAAGTGAGCTCAACCGAGGACTATGTCGTTTTATTTATTTATTTTTATGTGGTGCTGAGGATCGAACCCAGGGCCTTGTACATGTGAGGCAAGCACTCTACCACTGAGCCATAAAAGAGACAAGGTCTCCCTGAGTTGCTTAGGGCCTGGCTTAGTTGCTGAGGCTGGCTTTGAACCTGTGACCCTCCTACCTCAGCTACCTGAACAACTGGCTTTACAGTCTTACGCCACCATGCCATGCCCAACCCAGTCCTGATGGGCCCTTCCGGCCCCTCCAAATCCATGATCCCTATGGGGCCCAGGCCCAGGCTTTAGCCTGCAGATATCCCCTCAACCCAGCCCAGTACTCACCTCTTTCTCCCCACAGATGTTGCTGATGATGGAGCTGGAGGCCGGGCTGGATGATGGTCCCAGGACAGCAACCACCCCCTTGGGGAGGATCTGACACACTGCAGCCAGAGGTAGGGACAGGAAAGGAAGCAAGGCACCCATCAGGTGGCGCTTGGTTCAGCTGCCCCCTGGGTGGTAGGCTTGAGTCCTTCAATCTGCATCGGCTACCTCTCACCTTCTACCCACCCTCAGCCCCAGCCCCTCTCCAACCCTTCCAAACCTAGTGTCCCTCCTTCTCCCCCTGGACCACTGGGCTCTAGGACAGTTTTATTGGAGTTTATGGGCAGTATTAAATGAGGAAATGACCCAGGTTATGATAACATACGGCCACAGCCAGCCGGGTATATAAATCGTCTGGGCTGTCACCGAAGGACAGAGGCTAATGGAGGAACCCTGAGATGCCCTCCCGGCCTGGTCTGCAGTGGGGTGGAGGCAGCCCGGGCATGTGCCGCAGAGGTGGAGGGCCCAGCTCCCAGAGTGGTCACACCTCCAGTTACCCAGAGTGGAGGAGGAAGAAGGGCGGGAATACAGGGAACAAAGGTGGCAGGATTGATGCAGACAGACAACAAGAAAGCAGGTTCAATAGGAGGAACCAAAAGAGAATGAAAGGCAGAGGGGGCCCCACTGTCAAGGGCTCCTCTGTTCACCTCCTCCCCTAGCACGTCAGCCACTGTCCTGACCCACCAGCAGACCTGTGACCTCGCCCTGCCTCCGCTGGGAAGGTGCCCTTCCCTCCTGGACTCTGGGCAGTCATCTGTCAAATGTCAACTCAAATGCCACCTTCTCCTAAGTCCTTCCTAGGTTATTTAGGTGGAACTAACCAGGCCTGGGGCTTCCAAGGTCCCCATTTTGTGCCTGTATTCTAAGACACTTGCAATTGTGTCTACTTTGGTTTATTGCTTCCAGTTGGGCCCCAGGAGCAGGCGCCAGACTCCTTTCACTAGATTTCAAACCCCTTGCAGGAACAGAGCCATGCTTATTTCTAAACTGCCGCTTCTCATTTCTTCAGTGTCTACATTTTCTAGACAGTAGGTGCCCAGTATACATTTGTCCAATGAAAGCATGAATGGGTGGGAATGGTCAGAAGAGGAAGGAAGGATCTAGAACATTAAAATGTTAGAGACCAAGAAAGGAAGGACAGGAGAAAAGTGGGGGAAACGTGAAGAGAGAGGACAAGAGCTCATTCTCTGTCTAGGCACTTGACATCAGAACCGAGACTCTGCTGTCAGAATACGCCTCAAAGTTCCCCATGCATGACGGGACATCCTTGTCTGCAAAGCCCAAAGCTTCATTTCACAAATACTTTCCCCCACTTCACATTAGGAGTAAGGCAGCCATTTCTGGGCCAGGAAGCTGCTTCTTGAGACAGCTGCAAAGCCACACCTGCCCCCCGGATGTTCTTTCTCCTGAGTGAGAGTCCTAACCACTGGCCAACACGGCCAAGCAATCATTGGAATGGCACCCAGGCAGCAAGGCAGATGGTGGGGTCAAATCCCAGAGTGGCAATTGACCACACCAACTTCACATCTTCCAGGCCTCCTCTTGGCTTAGCTGCAGCTCCAGCAGGGACCCCACAACCTCCCAAATCTCAGCCAACCCCGAGTCTGCATGCAGAGGACACCTGAGGGGGACTCATCAGCTCTAAGTGTCAGAACCATCCCAGGGGCAGAGGAAGTGAGGACCAGGCCTCAGCCCTGACAGCCTCTTCTAGGTTTAAGCTATTTTCTTGCAAGTGACATCGAGTGATTGCAGCCTGCCTAACTCTTAACTGGCTTGATAGGTGCTTTCAGTTTGTCACCCCATCTATCCCTATGAGGGTCTCCCCTCTAGGACTCTTACCTCCTCTTTACCAATAGGAACTACTATCCTTGAGGGACAAAGTGACTCCCATTAGGTCACACACCTGATCAAAGTCAAATCCAGCATTTGGGTTTCAGCCTCTGGACCCTGTCCAGGGTTCATCCTGCCCTCTCACAGCCACCTACTTCATCTGCAGGACTCCCTGCAGCCACTCTGTCACCCAGCTCTTATCAATCCCTTACAGCCCACCTTGTCCTTAGAATCCGCTTTCTCCAAGGTCACCATGACCAGTCACTGGTCCTCGTCCAGGTCTCTTTGTGCAGCATCTGCTGTTGCCGAGCACACTGTTCGCTGGAATTTCACGACTCCCTCCAGTCCTCACGCTCACCCAGTTGTCTGAGCATGGTTTCCTCTGCTGACTCCTCTTCCTTCTCCCATCTGCTAAATTTAGGTTTTGCCTGGGCCGCCCTCTATCTGAAGGCTGCCCTTGCCTCCTCTCTGCCCAGATGATCATATATTCTAACCTATGGCCTGGTTACACAATCAAGTTCCAAGCACCCGCTGGATGTGACCTCAGGGCCTTCTTTCTAGCATCTCACACTCAACAAGGCCACCGGTGGCAAGGTCATCATGCGTGTGAACTCTGTTGCGAGGCTGTCTGAGTCTGAGTCTCAGGACTGGCACTTACTGGTTATGAAAACTTGAGCAAGTTATTAAATCTCCCTGGGCCTATTTGCTTACCTCTAGAACTAGGATACTAACATCACCTCTCTCACGGGCACATTGTAAGGATTAAAGTGAGTTAATACATACAAAGTGCTTAGAATGGTTCCTTACAACCCTTCTCATTGTTCCTGATAAATCATGTCATATACATATATATATACATATATGTATACATATATGTATATATATATGTATATATATGTATATATATATGTATATATATGTATGTATATATATATATGTATATGGTGGGGGGTAGCTGCCAGTAATTGAACTCAGGACACTTAACCACTGAGCCACATCCCCAGCCCTGTTTTATATTTTACTTAGACACAGGGTCTCACTGAGTTACTTAGTGCCTCATTTTTGCTGAGGCTGGGTTTGAACTTTCGAACCTCCTGCCTCCTGAGCTGCTGGGATTACAGGTATGTGCCACTGAGCCTGGCTTATATTATGAAGAATTTGATCTTATACTTTTATGAGGAAGATTCACCTTGTCCCCACTTTACAGACAGAAAAACTGAGGCTTAGAAAATGCAAGTAACTTGTTCAAATGGATGTGGATAATATATGGTAGAACTGTATTTGACCTTGGAGATCCATCAGGCACCAAAGCCCAGGCTCTTAACCACTCAATTTTTCTCCCCTTAGCTCCTCAAGGTCAAAGCCAGGCCCACCCTTGACCCTTCCTTGCTAAATCTATTCACTCACTACTGAGTCGGGGGCCAAATCTGCCCTTCTGACATGCTCACATCTGGCACCCTCTCCTTCCTACACAACTGCTATTGTGTCTGGTCAGTTCCTTTGGCCACCTGTCTTCCAAAGGGAATCCCTGTCTCCAGCATTCTTCATTTCCAATCCTTTCTCCAAACTGTGAGGCAAATTATAATAATAAAGCAACGATCTGCATGTTCCTCTAAGTCAGAAAGCTTGTCTTATTTACCCTGGTACCCTCCATACTGAGCACAGGGCCTGACGCGGAATTATGTGTCCAATAAATCACTGTCCACCACACTGAAGCCCGCTCAACGCTTTCCATAAATAAAGAAACTAAATGTCTAATCATAAGGGAATCGTTATATAAAGTGTGGGTCATACACGGAAATGGAATATTATTTAGGAATTTAAAATGCTTATGAGCAGTTTATAATAGCATTAAAAATATTTATGTAATATTATTAAGAGAAGGAAGCAGGAAATAAAATTATATGTCCATCTATCTGAGGGCTCCAACTTGGCAAATTCAGGGGATAGTTATGCACAAGGAATGACTGGAACAAGATGTGATGAAAACCAATGTTTATTGAGTGCTAATTGTGGCCCATTCAAAGCATGTTACAGGAACTTTTACCTATTGAGTTCTAACACAACCTGGTAAAGAGGTACTATTACTGTACCTTTCTTCATAGACACAAAAACAAGATGGAAAGAGCAGGGTGAAGATTCAGCTGCTGACCCCCAGGCTCCAGGGCCCTGTTCCTTCAGCACAGGCTCCCATGGAGATCAGTGATGGACACTGCCTTGGCTGCTGGGACGCTGAGTGACTTTCTTCCTGTTTTACTTCCTTTGCTTTCCAATATGGACATGCACTCCTTTTATAATGTCTTATAAGGAAAATGGCATAATAATAAAAAGAATTCCTCCTGATGACGAGGAAAATTCAAGTGAGTCTGGTCTTCCTGTGACCCTGCTTTTCTGGCCCTTTCTCTCACGGTGCCACTTCCCATGCCAGCTTGCCTAGAATGTTCTATCTGCTTCCTTATCTGTCCCCGAGTGGTTATCTCTGATGAGACCAGGGATTCCTAACTTGCTGCCTGGACCTGAGGGAGAAGTCAGGAGTCTGAATATTGTGGGGGGGATCACATCACTCTTTCCTCTAACCCCAGCTGAAAGGTAGAATTTTCTTCCATTTTGAAGGTAGGCAGCAAACCATGGTCTAGTAACAGTGTCTGTGACTTGGTCACCAACAGAAATCACCAGTGTTTTTGTATCACATTACAGAGCTGTAGATATCTTGAAATGTCATTTATATTCATTACTACTTCAAAATTACCCTAGAAGTTACACTCAATGCTGGGCTTAGCTATTGAATACATTAATAAAGAAGCACAGGTGTTAATATATGACTATTAAAATATTTTAACTGCATTTCTGTACAATTAGTTTCCATGGTCATCTGAACCATTCACTATTTTGTCCACTTTAAAACAATTTTCTGGGAAGGGTCCATTAGCATCCTTAGTCTACCGTGGTCTACACTGTCTCTGGCCCTCTCCTGGCAAACTCCTACTGCTCCTCTAACACCCAGCTGGGATCTTGCCTAAGGCATCTGTCCTTCCCTACATCTGAGTCAGCTGCCTTTCGGAGACAGGGAAATTTCCCCTGCTTTCTAAATTCCGAGCCAAGTTCTGCCCCAAGCAGGCTCATGATGTTGGCTCTCAACAGAAGGAAGTTTCTCCTAAAAATAAATTCTTGCCGAAGTCCATAATCCATAAGGCTCTGAGATGGGATGTTTTTCATCAAACTCATTTAG